GTGTTGTTCCACCTAGTAAAACAGGGAAGGAAAAACATACACACACAGTCCGGTCCGACCGACCCAGAATCTCATTGCAATTCTTGGCAAGCCGGCGGCAGGGAGCAAGAGGAGGAGGAGGAGGAGGAGGAGGAGCAGCAGCAGCAGCAGACTGAGGGAAGCACTTCAGCCTAAGGCGCTCAAGGACGAGGCTGGGATTCATGGCTCCCCCAAATCGCATCGCCCAACGTTGACTCGTTAATACTGAGGAGGATTAGTAGCAGATTGCAGGGTGTTTCCTCCAAGCGGTCCGGTAAGTCCTGCGTCCGGTTCTGATTCTGAGGGGTTGCTCCGCGCAGTTGGCGGAGGGGAGCAGAGGGGTGGCTGGCTCCGGCCTGGGGGCTGTGCAGTAATGCATGAATGGATGCTGGTCTGGAGTTGGGCGATACATCTCTCCTAGCTGCTTTTCTACGAATTGGGGGAGAGAAGGGGTTGCTTTGGAGGCAGTGAGATTTAGCATTACGGGTCAGTCTTAAGTAGAAACGGAGAAGTGGTTTCGCTCCAAGGTTTATTATTTAATGCAAAAGTGTTTTCATTTTGAAAAAGCTACGAAGCCATGAAGGGATTACTTATCTTTGCGAACCTTGGACCTTATTTCATCCAGCTGTCAAAGGTCTCTGGGTGGTGCTATCTACTCAGAACATAAGAACACCAGTGAGTTGGAGGTAGTTTTCGCTCAAGAATGTGCATACAAAAATTCAGCCTAATTTAGTAATTACACAGTTGGGAAACTGAACTATGAACAAGGGTTGATGAGGCTTGCTGAAGACAGGTGCTTAGTCAAGCAGGGAAACTAATTCAGATGTATTTATAGCATGGAAGAGGTAAATATAGTTGATGCATTCTCCTCCCCACTTAAAAACATGTGTAAGTATATATCACACAAATTCTTCTAATTAGGTTTAATGGAAACATATCCATAAAGCAATGCCATATGCTTTGGAAAGTCTGATCCTTTAAACAAAGTGTGTAAAGAACAAAGTGGGATTGCTCTTTGTCCTAGGAAAAGCAAACCCTATATGCTCAGAGAAACTTTTATTAGTTTATAGATAATAGAAGTTGGGTTTAGTATTGAAAATAACTTGGGGTTGAACTCTGATACAAATAAGCCTTTGCAGCAAGAACTACAAACATACAAGTTATACTTGTTTGTTCTATAAAGTTACATGAGAGTATGACAGCTCATACAAATAGTTATGAAACAAGTATTCTCTATTTTTAGAACAATGCATATGATATGTGGATGTTACAAGATGTAATACAGTATGCATGCATCCCTTTTAATGATAATTATACCATATTACACTACAAAAATGGATAAATATGCCACTAGTGCAAAAAAAAAAAAGAATCCATAAGATATAATCCTAATTATAGGAAAGGAAACCCCATTGAAGTGAAGGGATTCTGTTAGTTATTCTATAAAACCTTTCAACAGGTCTTATAGTAATGCATCTCCAAATTTTCACTGAGATTCAGATTATTTAACAGTGATCGTTAGCTGGTGGTAGGATTATTGATTTAGAATGGTTTGCTGCCTGAGACAGAGCAGCAAGTACAGTCCCCCTCCTCTATTATGCAATGTTGGTCAAATTACAGTGACACAAGTAAAGGATTTTCTTCTTTTCCTGAGTAGTCATAATACAATAATAATACATTTTAAAAGAAGTCTAATGCCATTTCAGCTGCCTAAGGTAGCTGATGCAGTACTGGATTTCACTAATGAGATTTTGGAATTTTATGAATAAGTCTTCAAACTATGGATATCCAGGCCAATACAACCCATAGAAGTAAAACTGTTTTACTTGTATGTCAGGATTTGAAGTGGAGGCTGTGATATTTCCCTAAATTATATTTGAAAAAGTGTTTAGGGAAATAGCTATCTTCATCACTGTCAGATATAAATAAGAGGATTATGAGCTATGGAACATAGGTAGTTTCCTTACAGCTAGTTACATCATTTGATCTATGTACTTTTGACAGGGATCTTTCCCAGCCCTACCTGGAAATTTCAAAGAGTGAAATATAATCTTGATCTACTAGAACTGGACTGCAAAATTCCAGATAGCCAGTAAATAGGAGCAAAGAAATACAGAAACCTAATTTGCCCAGATTTTTGCAACCCACATCTGGTTACCCCTAGGTTCCCAATTCCTAAGAGCACCCCAGCTTAGCAGGTTATGTTTGGTAGTCACAACTGGCCATTTTAGCAATATACATCTGCTCATTTTCTAGTTGTTTCCCCACATAATGAGAGAACACAAATGACATCTTGAAAACAAGCCTGAAAGTTGACCTGAGAGAAAGAACTTCTTGTTTATCTATAAAAAAAACTTTACTGCCCCTTTACTACATACCTTTAGACTGCAATCCTAGGCCCTTTACCTGGAAATAAGTCTCAATAACTTCAAGGAAAATTATTTCTAGGTAACTATGTGTCAAATAAGGTGGGAAAATATAGTCAAATAATTACTGTTTAAAAGCAGAGCCTCATCGTGCACAGTGCCTAGTGATGACATCTGAGGACATAAACAGTAGAATCAAGAATTTGTAGTGAGAATGTTAACTGTAGGCAGTTGAGACAGTCCAATAAATGGACTTTATTTATTTATTCATTCTTTTTTTTTAACCTGCAGTAATCAGGAAACTCTCAGCAGGTTGAAGTTTGAGAATATCTTCCAAAATATGGGATAGAATTGGCTGGTGGAAGTTCAAAAAGCTATAATTCTGGTCTTAGAGCTTAGTAAAGTACAGGTAACTCAGAACATTATATGTAAGTGCCAAGTAGTCTGACCAAATCATACTCATTCCTGCTTAGCTCTATCAATCTACTTTTACATCATGCCATACCCAGATACTTCCTCTACAGTAAAATTCATTGAATTCTTTGGAACTAACTTCTTAGTAGACATGAAGAGGATTATGATCTGATCTGATCCCAGCCTTTATTTTCATCCAGACTATGGACTATGTCCAACATGCCAGTGTTGGACAAATGGCCTGATTTACTATAATCTTCCTTTATGTATAGCTAAGATTACTAGATATTAGAAGCTAGAATTCTGTTGTGCTATTTGTAACAGCTTGATATGACCATCAAGATTGATATTTATATCAGTCTTCTATTTTAAGCCTACCTGTAGCAGCCAATTGAGAAGTTGGAAACCCCCAGTCTAGCCTTTCCCAGTTGGGTATTCTCCTGGTTTGACTACATTTCCCAGCATCCCCATTCACCAAAATCCTGTGCCATCCTCACTAGGTATGATGAGAATTGTAGTCTGACTCATCTGGTGGATATCAGGTTGGTAGAAGCTGCTATAAGCAATATCCTTCTATTTTTCACTTTGTTGAGTATTAAAAGTTTGATAGCTATTACATTTTTGTACTTTTATTTTCTTCACCAAAGATCTCATATCTAAAATTATGGTAGTGATGTTTTTTAAAAGCAGTTTTGTTGGTGAGATTTCTGTAGTCAAGATAAAGAAAAACAAGAGAGCAGACATCATCCAGGATAAAACCTTATCAGAGTGAAGCAGTATATACATTATATAGCTAAATAAATAAAACTAACTGAAATCACTAGGATTAAATATAAGTATGATGGTTGGATAATTTAGGATGAACAGTGTGCTCAACCACATGACAAAGGTTGCACTAAAGAGAACTGCTGATAGCAGATCAGGAATGTGAATTAGGTTTATAATTGAACTTAACAAATTGGATAGTCTATTATTATGTAATACTGGAAAGAACCGGTTGAAGATCTAAGCACACATTTCTTATTTAAGTAATCATTGTTATTCATACCAACTTTCCCATTGACTCAAAACCATCTTCCACTATTGTACTTGTGAGAGCTGATCTCTAATCTGAAATGAGAACTGTATATACACTTGTTAACTTTACATATGAAAGCATACACGCATGTCTTATGTACTGTATTCTTATAATTCTAGGTGTCTTAATATGCATTGGATTCTGGAAAAAAGATCTTGGTAGAAAGGGGAAAATAGTCACTACTATTTATTCTGCTGATCAGTGATGTCTTAATACATTTTTACCCTTTGTACTATTAATAGTACATATAAAATAAATATTAAAACACAGTTAAATTGTATAATTTCTGCATAATTAAACACTTGTTTGCATCAAAGATTTAAATAGATTTTGAAAAAACATATTTAATTTTCTAGTGTAATTAAGAATGAAATCCAGACTTTGTTTTATTTTAGTACATGAAATCAATAGGATTGATTTCTGTGGGTCTACTCTAAGGGAAATATATCTGACTTTCATCTTGAGTGCTTAAGTGCAGGTAGATTATGTCCTTTCTATATAAAAATCATGACCTAGTGCCATTAAAACTAGTTTTTTATATCAAGTTTTCTGTTGGTCCAGTAACTGCTTAGTTTTCAATTCCTGTAGATGTACTGTTTACAGTACAGCTGTAAGCAATTTCCCGTGTAAAACATATGCATTTTCCTTTGTAAGACACATGCATTTTTAATGCAAATTATTTCTTTCATACCATTTGGGGTTAGTAATCTTTTGATACTTACTCACTTTAGGACAAGTAATGGCCATTTCAACAGCTTTTTTTTTTTTTATTTCCCGTTGTCCT